TTCTCCGTTTGGAACGTTTTATAAAACCTGTAAATGACGTGCTACTGCTGAATGGCTACACAAGTAAGACAACTTTGATTATCTTAATGATGTTAGAGTTGCATAAAAAGAAACGTTAGATATTTTTTCATCGACACAGTGAGAACATACTTGCAATAAATGTTTTGATTGGTGAAATATTTTAGGACTGCTTACAAAGGAATAACTCTACTCATGGTTTTGTTAGATTTTGTTCGATGGTTTATCGACATATCAATAATATTTTGGTTACTTAAAAGTGAATTATTATGGGACAAAACTCATAAGGAATTTATAGATGGGCTGATGCATATCCATCTTAAACCATAGAGAAAATGGCTGACAGAGTTCCAGGTTACACTTAAATCAAATAGAGGACATATTTTCGGGTGGCACAAGATTCAAAATGATAGACATAGGTCCGCTTTGCAACTGAATCAAATACTGGTTAATACCAAAATCAATAATCGAAGGCAAAAATATGAACGAAGACCTGGTTTTCACTTGAATTAAATCAACCTTCATCGCTTGGTTCATACCAGAATCAAAAAATAGTTAAAGGTGCGGATTACAGCAAAGTCATAAAGGTAAACCCGTGTCCAATTTAGAGCAATATCAAAAATGTAAACAAAGGACTAGTTTACATTTGAATTAAATCAGCCATACCCGTTCAGTTTAGACCAGAGTCAAAAATATAGACACTGGTCTGGTTCGCAACAGAGACAAACTGGTAGATACGGGTGGGGTTTATGTCAGAGTATAAAAGGTAAAAGGTGTCCCGGTTTAAACCAAAGACAAGTATATTGTTACAAGTCTGGTTTACACTGTCGTCAAAAGTGTCAAATTGCGACAAATTTGTAGCCGAATTTGAGAGTAACCGACCTGAAGGTTTTATCTCTTATATTATTTTCATATAAAAATAAATATTGCACAAACAGTTTAGGAGAGGAAATAAAAAGACGAATTTATTAATAGTTAAAAAGAACCTGGAATTATGGATAGCCATGATCAACAAAGCCCTGACCAGACGCGTGAAAGAAGAAGTTATTTTGCCTGGTTTCTGAATTTGCCTGAGAGACATTTTGACCATTATAAAACGAAACATGAATGCCTTTTACATCTTTGAGTTTCCACTTGCTAAAGGAAAACCTAAATACGCAAAACAAGTAACTATCGATTCGTCGAATAATTTGGTGTTGATTACCACTGTTACACACAGAGAGACACGCACAGACGCACGCTCACACACACACACACACACACACACATATATATATATATATATATATATATATATATATATATAGTGATTATCCAGGGCAACTAAATTCTTTAGGATATTGAACAGTATAAAAATAAACAAAACTAAGAACCAACAAACCTTTACTTTATTTTTATTTAAATAAACCTTCGTTAAACAATATCTCTTGGCTTATGGTATTATTAAATAAGACACGGTTCCAGTGCGGTCGCTGAAGTTAAGCAACGTTGAGCATGGTCAGTACCAGGATAAATAACAGCTTGAAAATACTAAATACTGTAAGCTTGGGTGTGCGGACGGTGTAATAAATAATGGACCTGAATTCTTAATCGGAGAACTGAGTTCCAATTCCAGTTGAGTTATATTGAGTTATAGGCAAATACCCTTGGGAAATATATGGACCCAAATATTCACCTCCAGCTATGGTTTAGTCAATAAGATTTTTATTTCTATATCACTGTTATCTTCCCCAAGATTCTTACAATCTAAAAATACGTTTTGTCTTTAGATAACATGCCTGGTTGATAAGCCGAAGTAAATCAATCAACCAATATATCTTCTCATAAGAAAGCTAAATTTCGATTCAATCATTCAGTCGGTGCGGCCCGTTTCCTTCGAGGACCTCGGCTACGCAATGAATAACACTTTTCACTGACAATTTGTGAAGAGAGGCGCTTTTCTAGTATTATGAACAGATTAAGTTCTCATAACTAATTTCTCAAAGGAGGTGAATTTTGTGTCCAGATTAATTTTTCTGCTGATACTTTTTATATGTGAAAGATACTATTCTGATATTACGGATAGACTGTGTTCTATTCACTATTTCAATATTTGGAGAATCTTCTACAAAGGCAAATATACAAAGTGTTTAAAGGTGTATATTAAAGAATTCAGAATATATTCATATTTATATGATAAACTAGCAGCGTGACCCGGCGTTGCCCGTGCTTGATTCAAAAATCGTACGACTCATACAGCAATCGCTATCACTTGACTTAAAATATTTTTGCCCTTCCTTGCCTTTAAAGGAGTGCCCTTTGCCGTGCTGATGTTGCTACATGCCTTACTTCTTGCCTATCTCACACTGCAAATTTTTTCTAAGCTCTATACTAAACATTAAATCTGTTACGAAAAAAGAACAAAGCAAAATGAACACAAAACGATCAGCTTTAAAAAGAACTCATAACTGGAAAAACCGAATGAAAAAAGAATGTTAACAACAAATACTTTTTCACATCCAACCCAGTTCTGCGGAATCAGAATCAACGTTGAGTTTAAGCAAGCGAATGAGCCAATTGGAGTAAAGTGCCATGCAGATTTAAATTTTTCCCACTTGTGACGAGTGCAGCTATCGATTTTTTTGCATGCTAGCATTCTAGTTACCATTCGTGTCAGTCAGCTGTTGGCTCTCACGCTGGCCTATAAAATCTTCCTACCTATTCGTGGCAGCCAGCTATAGGCTCTTACTCTGACCAGTAGAAAATGGGCGCAAAGTACATGAAAACTGCCATAGAAGCATGAAAAAATCGATTATTTCCACTATCGATGGGAGTTGGGAAATGCAATGTCGGTCTTGGCCTTCTCGCCAACTTGGAGCATGTGCATGTAAATTTTGGTACAAATCCGCCGAAAATTGCGGCATTGCATTCGTTACATACTCACAGACATCCTGCCTTTTATAGATAGAGATTTCAGCTTATATACGTTTTATTAGTAGCATTTACAATAACTTATTTGCTATTGGAAGATTTAATTATACAATTTGTTAAATATATTGTAAATAAATACCTTTTTTTTTTCGGGGGATATAGAGATTGCTGTGGAAAGAAATAAACTTTAAAAATAGTGGGAAAATTGGACAGAGGCGAACAGAACAATAAAAGAATGAAACCACTGGCATGATAAAAAAAAAGAAAAAATTATTTTAAGAAAGTTAAGAACGAGAACTGAGAAATAATATAGTCTGCAATTTGTTCCAAAAGATGACTGAATAAAAATCTAGACTACTGTCCCATTTTTGAATTGAATTTATCCTCAAACTGGACTAGCATATTATCTGATACAGTTCCTCGGTGTCTTTTAAAATGTAGTTCTTACTTTATATTACGTTAAGTAAATTTCATTTTAGGGTATTTGCATAGCTAAACATTCCTAAAATATATCATAACGGGTGATGAAAAACGGATTTCATACAACAACGGAGGCACTGTGGAGTAATGGATAGCGTCTTGGCTTGAGGAATCGTAGAGCCGAATTCGATTCACTTATGTGTTAATAACTTTGGGAAAGATTGCTGAAAAACTCTTTCACATAGAAAACTTTTTTTTTTTTTTATGAAACTCAAAATCAATGGTGGCGGACAAAAACAATTCAAATCAAAACCTAAGGAATTTTACTCAAAAGATATCGAAAACATGCCTGATATTTGGCTATTAGTCTTTGAAAATAATGGTTGATATAAAATTGAAAGTGTTATTTAGCTTATTAATTTTAAGAATAAGGTTGATAAATGTAGACGGAAATTAGTCATGCCTCAACAAAATGTATAAGTCATTTTCTTGAGGAAAATGAACAAAATGCGGGCCTCCATCTTATAAGCAAAGTTCTTTATTCAGTAATAAAGAGTTTTAATTATTGGAAACATAAACAACCCCAATGTAATATTATATTTCTTTAAAATTAACGTTCACATTATACTAGACCTGAGTGTTTGTTGTGTGAGCGTAGAGTAAGAGGCTAGAGGAGCGGTTTATATGGATATGTGGGAGAAAATGTCGTAGTCAGAGAATCATCTTCTGGAGGCCGATACTACAAGGATCAAATGGAACTCACTTCTCGCTAATGGTATACGAAGGGGATGGGTGTGGTTCCCTACAGTGGGCGTGACATGGTGGGTCCTAACTGGTCAAATCAGGGAATGTAACTGCGTTTGAATACTTTACATGGAAATAGCGATAGGGTAACGAGAGGCTTGCAACATTTCATCTGTAGGAAGGGGGTTGTATGATGAAAAAAAATTCACTACTCAAAAGGCCGCGGTGGGAAGACCAAGGTAAAACGATAAAATACATCAAACAGCCAGGCCTCTGATCAGGAGGTTTTGAGGAGCGTGAAGCCACCTCTTAATTTCTGGTGTTCCCAGGTCCACTCTGACACGTGGTGGTAGCACTTGTTAGGGTCCCAGCTATGGAAAATAGTTAACCCCCGACCTGAGGTCAACACACAATGAAAGCGTTAAAATAGGTTTTAATATCAGAAATACTTTCTAAAAAAGTATTATCAGTAACACATTTTTGAAAAAAAGATATTACCAAAAATAGGTTTTTGAAAAAAAAAGTTAATACCAGCTATACATTTTTAAGAAAGAAATATTAGGTAGAATTAGATTATTTGAAAAGAATATATTACCAGAAATAGATGTTTGTCGGCATTAAACAACCCGTTTTGTTTGATATGCCGTAAAACAAACCAAAATTTATTAGTTATTTTATGCGTAAATCTTATTTATTTTGTACACATTTTTTTTTCCTTTTTTTTTTGCTTTCAGTCGAGATGGTAATGGTTTTATTGATACAAATCTTACTAAATAACCACTAGAATAAGTAGAAGAGGTTGACCGATACTTTTATCAAGTTTATTTGCACGCAAATGAATTTAACGAACCCAATTAGGATTGGAACTCGGCTCTCCGATTAAAAATTGCGATCCCAGCAGGCCCAAGCCTACAACACCTGCTATCCCCAAGCAGTCACTCATCCCGATACTAAGCAGACTCGAAGTTGCTTAACTTCGGCGATCTTAGTGGAATCGATGTTTCAACGTGGCGTGGTCGTAAACCGAACTGTTGTTTTGATATCATTGGACTCATTTATAAAATATTACAAGATCGATAATTACAGTTTGATATCGTTGGGATTTCGTTGTAGAAAAATCAGCATATCAAGACCTACTCTTATTTAAGAGAAAGCCATGAAGATCATCCTTTATCGAACACTTTAAGCTGACGCTACAGAATCACAAACAAAGAATTGTAGCAAGAACTATAATATATTGAGGAGGTTCAACAGCAGCAACAACTAAAATGGATAGCACATGAAAACAAAGAGAAAATAACGACCTAATCTGTGCTGGCGTTTCACACTACTTCAAACAAAAGTTTAGGAAGGAAACCCCGATGAATACTGGAAAAGTACGCAAGCAATTACTGGAGTTGAACAAACTATTTTACTGAAAAATCTGTTTTAGCATAAAAGAAATATAAATTCCAAAAGGAGCTAACTCTAGCTGCTCAGTCAACAAGTACCGAATGATTACCTATAATGGTGATTGGTTTCATGTTTATTACTTTCCTCTTTGAAGTCTGTCTATATTTCTGAGATGAGGTATTATGTACATTATTTACATTATTCGGACTATTGTCCTCATCTTTGTCGCCATATTTATCACAACGTTTCGGCCGTTGTACGCTCCGGCCTTATCAGGTGGTTGGAATTTCGAAATAAAGGGTTCAGTTCGAAATTCCAACCACCTGAAGAAGGCCGGAGAGTAAAACGGCCGAAACGTTGTGATAAATATAGCGACAAAGATGAGGACAATAGTCCGAATAATGTAAATAATATACTTTCCTCTTTGGTGAGCTTTCTTTCTGTTACATCGATTCCTGAATTCAAGCGCGGTACGAGATTGACAGGTAGGTGTCATAATGTCCCTGTTGAAATTGATACATGTCAGTGTAAGTTCTATGCGGATAGTTTCTTCTCTTAATTCTCGATCGTGGGAGTCTCTTCCGACTCTCTCTCTCTTTCTCTCTCTCTCTCTCTCTCTCTCTTGTCAACTCCGATTTTCAAAAGTCTCAGTTCAATGTCACTCCTCATGTTTTGTCTGTAGTTCTTTTATTGTCCTCTCTCCTCAAGATTTTCTAAAATTCTTTCATCCTCAGCAATCACTTGAGTTTTAGTGGGTTTATCTCCTTGTTTGGAGTGAAATTATTTACAACATAAAATGAAATGTCTAATATTACAATTACCATTCTAAATTAGAAGAGAAAATCTCCGAAAATAACGATTTATTAGGTTGGTGCAAAAACAATGACGTAATAATGTCGTTTTTTGACGTTAAAAAATACGTCAAAAAACGACATTATTACGTCATTATCTTTGCACCAACCTAATATTATGTTGACTTTTGCGGATCGAGAATAAACTTAGCCATATTTGATTGTTACTTTTATAGCAGTTGGGCAAAATGTTTATATTGCATGAATTTGCATATGTGTCTCTGTATTCTTACAATTGGCTTTTATCAATACATGCTTCACGTCAAGAAGGGCCAAACATTGATGTCTGCAGAGTTACGCTATGGATAATGATTTTTGTCTCTAGTGACAGCGATGTGCAAGACAAGCCACACTACTGACAGCCCCGAAGTACTGTCAGTTCTCTAAAACCTTTGAAAATACACAGTCAGATTTGGTAATGTAGGAAGCACCGTGGAGGAATGGATATCGGCTCGGATTGAGGACCCGGAGAGTCGATATTCACCAGTACCCTTGGGAAAACTATGAATCCTCTTGTACCCCGCCAGATATGGATAAATATCAGGGGAAACTGGGTTATATAGCCTTCGTTGCCAACTGGTCTAAGAGATAATAACTCTGAATCCAAAAATGTGTCGCCCTGGAGTAGCACATACTACAAAACTAAGGAAAGGGTCGTTCGCATTGGCACGATGATCCCGACTGAGGTCGACAAATGATGATGGTGAGTGGTAAATTGTGTGTTATATTCAATAAACTACTGCATTCAACATTTTTGTCGTGGCTGTTGTGTTTATCTTAGCGTGGGAATAATCTTTATGAATAAAGGAAAATAATGTAGGTTTAATAAAATGACTAGCAGATAAGCGAAAAATTATAAATTGAAGCTTTTTTAAGATTCAGAGCCGCCGAGAGATGCTGTAAGCGCTTTTCATATATAATAAATAACCATAGAAATCTTCAGCTCTATATATCTTTTTGGGCGTTTTTTCTTTTCTTTTTTTTTGTTGTTTCTTATTTGTGTGTTTTTTTTGTTTTATTTTTTTTTGCGAAGTGAAAGAAGATAACATAACTGCCGAGATTAAAAACCAAAAGCATGTTGTTTCCTATTTGGTAGATTGTGTGTTTTGTTTGCTGATGTAAACGTTTTCAGGAAAATATTTTGATTTTTGTATAGATTTTTTTTTGTTCCTTTCGAGTTTTAACTATTCTTCTCTTGATTACTCGAGTCTTCTGTTTTCCGCCTCATTATGTTTAAGATTCCGTTATTTAAACAAAAAAAAAAAAACAATTCCATCTCGCGAAGAATTTTGATTTTGTAATATTCTCGTAAAATCACTCTCCATCGAATAAATCTGAAAATTAAAAGGCAAAAAATATACTTGAATATTAAAGAAGAATTTACATCTGGTTCCAAGGCTTCTGATTGGTAGATTGGATATTCTGAAGAACACGAATCTGCCTATTTTTGTTGTTCCCAGACCCATCTTGACCCGGCATCTTAGCACCTGAGCAAATAGTTAATCCAAAACTGGGGAAAAAAATAATGAAAGTATAAAAATACATTTTTACAGTAAAAATAGCTGCAATACATTTTCATAGTAAAAAAAATTACCAATAGATTTTTGAAAAAAAAAATTAACAGCACTACATTTTTAAAAACAATAGTACTAACAATATATAATAATAAGTTACCAATACATTCAAAAAATATAATTTCGGCATTAAATGACCTATAAAGAGCTTATGTGTCGCAAAGCAAACAAACAAATAAAAAAGTGATGTTTACTATCGATAGTCTTAATTTTGATATAGAAAACAGTTCATTATTTACATTATTCGGACTATTGTCCTCATCTTTGTCGCCATATTTATCACAACGTTTCGGCCGTTGTACGCTCCGGCCTTCTTCAGACGACAAAGATGAGGATAATAGTCCGATTAATATAAATAATGTACATAATACCTCATCTCAGAAATATAGACAGAAAACAGTTCATTAGACTTAATATATAACAATGAGCACGGGCACCTCGATGCGTTGTAATGGCTAACAAGCTTGGCTCGCTAGAACATTTACGACTGAGTAGTCTGTTCGATTCTCACTGGGTACCCCCTAATTTCAGCCTTGTGCCACATCTAAGCTACGCTTGGAAAATCACTATATGGGCACTCGAGGTGGTGTAATGGTCAGCAAGCTTGACTTGCTAGCAAAATTATGACTGAGTAGTGAGTTCGATACTCACTGGGTGCCCCATACTGTCGGCCTTGTGCCACATCTGAGCTACGCTTGGAAAATCCCTATATAACAATGAAGACGAACTGAACAGTGTTTTAAATAAAATGTAAGGCGGATGCAGTGAATATTTTTATTTATTGAAACATTTAGACAAGAAATAATCACAAGATTTCAAGACAAGTATTTGTGGGTCTAACAATGAATGTTTTTAAAAAAGCTGTGGACAGAACACTGAAGAAAGGATAGTAACTACAAGGAAACGTTTCCTAACAATCACAGAAAAAAGCTAGATGAAGCTTTGTAATGTAAAATGAGGAAAGAAGGTTGAGAGAATTTAACACGAAGAGGCACAAGGGAGAGGTGGAGGAAAACGTCCAGAATCGCTTCGTCCACCGCAAGGAAAGTTGGCTCCTTTTGCCGTGCCAGGAAAATTTTCTCCCCGGAATTGAACCTTCAGATCTACAAATCAACAATTCGCCCTTGCATGGAGTATTGCTGCCATATATGGTCTGGGACCCCTTCTGTTTACCTCGGGGTTCTTGATAAGATCCAGATGTGGATATGCAATATAATTGACCCTGCTCTGGCATCTCGTCTGCAGTCGCTCTCTCACAGACGCGCCGTCGCCTCTATTTTTTACAAATACTTTCATGGTAATTGCTCCGAGGAGCTGCATTCGCTGGTTCCCAGACTTCATGAATTCAAACGCCCTACGAGGCTGGCATCCCGCTCTCACCCTTTCACTGTTAAATCTATTAAATGTAGCCATCTCTTCTACTCCAATAGATTCATATCTCTCGCCTGTGGAACTCCCTTCCCTATTCCAGTTTCCGTGAGAGCTATAATCTCCAACTATTCAAATGTAATGTCAATCGACATCTCCAGTTGCCTTGCTCTATCCACTATCCTTCTCCTCATTCTTTCCTCTATCACTCCTATCTGATCTTGCTCCAAATCTTCTGGAACCCCTTGCGACCTAGTGGCTTCCCGCTTTGCTTGGGGTGAAACGCTTAAATAAAAAAACAAAAAAACAAAAAAACAAATACCACATAAAAGGAATCATAAAAGAGACAACAAATAAAGTTGTAGAGAGACATAATTGCTCACATCTTAAAAAGGACTCGGCACACAGAGGAAATTTAAGGTAGATACTTTTGAGATGAATTGAAGAGTTCCGTTGTCTTAACATATCTGTTCGTAAGTGCTAGTGAATCACCTAAAAATATATGAAGTATATGAAAATTACCTTGTATTTAAAATATATGTAATAGGGATAAATAAACTGTTTTGTATATAAAAGATGACACTAATAATGAATAAGAGGTTTTTAAAATGAGGTGGTACCTACGATGGATTCACGGCGTCTTATGTAACTAACGTGGCCTAGTAATTATTTCAATCACTATGGCAACGTGTGCTTGTTATCCTCTACAAAATACATTTCACTCTTTCAGAGGAATCTAGTGAATGACGGTAATATTCTCTGCTTTGCAACACGACCACTCAGAAAGGTGTCACCTACTAAGTATCAAGAATATGCCGGCTGGAATCCTTGATTTAC